TTTTATTGCATCATATTCTGATCTTCCGTACTGCCACAACATTTGAAGTCTTGCTTGCCGGGGTCTGTGTGATGTCGTTGATCAGGTTTAATTCCCCTATTGGTTATCATTCCCCACCGACTGCAAATGCCTGCTTTAATGAGCCCATGAATTTGGGCTCACCAACAGCCCCTCATACAAGCGCTTCTGGTCCCCAATTTTTACCCAGTTTTTTAATGGGAGAGACCTCTGCCAACTCGCCCTTGAGTGCCGCCACCACTGTACCGTCGTCCATTTTCCCTTCACCTCACAGATCCAGCCGTATTACGCAGGTTAGTTTCGAGCTGTCATTTACCTGATATTCCGAACCTTGCATCTTTTCAATGGCTCATCCAAGTCCAGTATACTAAATTTGTCCGCCAAGCTCCTGATGACTGTTACTAGTAACAGCCGTTCACCCGAACCGGTTAGTCAACAGACGCACATTACCACTTATGCAGATTTTAAATAAACCCGCTGTCTTTGCAAAAGCCGTGGTTAATATGCAGGCCTGCCCTCCGTCTCAAAAGTGTCTGATGCTCTTCCATAGGTCCTGTATAAATTCGCGAAAGAAATTAAACGAATTAGGTTTATATTTTGGTCAAAGGATTTTTGTGTTTTGCTTCAGGCAAGACCAGCAACCGGCATTGTTTGCGGTTTTCACTAATCGCTGCCTTCTTACACAGCAGTTTAGCCTTCCTTTCGAAAGCGGTCGTGTTCATGTGGCAGGCCCCTGGAATTCCTCTTATGCCGATGCTCACTTATCTAGGCTTCTCGACAGGGAGTGAGTTAGTCAGCAATTTCACAGGCGTGTTTCAGGGCTCATTAAATGAGCTTTCATCCCACGTTTATGATTATTATCGAAATCTTTAATAGCTGGTATTCTATTCTTAAAACTACCCAGCATAGGCTTTCCGACATGAAGACCGCTGTCCCACTGGATCGCAGTGCCCGCCGACATGCTTCCCCACCCACACAAAGCCTGTGGACTAGTTCATTGGCCTTGACGAAGAACCCCGATGTCTTCTCTGAGAGCGTCCGCCACAGCACCCCAAACGCCAGCTTTGGTCGTTCTCCAATGTTACAGCAAGGTTTGCGGCCTGCATTGGACTCGCCCTTCGGCAACCCTCGTTCAGAAATCAAGCAGGAGCAATCGCACAGGTAGTTTGTTCACTTTTCCTTATTTTCAGATCATTTCGAGTATCTGGAACCATTCATTCCTCTCAGATTGTGGGGTCGGTTTCTTATTAGACTTTGCGGCGTCATGTGCACCTACTCCAAGTTGTATAGGCGCCTAACCGATAGCTTTAGTCAAAAGTACCCACACTTCTGAGTTAGAAGGTACCTTCTTATGTAAACAACAAAATATTGCCTCACCTCAGTTATCTCGTGATAGACTGAGCAACGAATGGGTTAGTAATTCGAGTAACATGATCCATGACCGTGGTCCTTACCGACATTAATGCAAATTCTGCATGTCACCTTTTCAGAAGGTTGAAGATTCTAAACTATTATGATCGTCTCTAACACAATCACCCTTGCCCTGGTATAGGCCGTCACCCTCTAAAATAGACTCTACCGTCTTTATAATGTGATACGGCATTTGGCGCTTTCGTTCAAACGCTTATATTTTGATTCGGATTGGCTATTGATGCGGTCAATTACTGCGTTTAGTTTGATATGCCGATCCGCAAGTGACTGCGTCTAAAACATATTTGACTACGAACGGCCGGGCACGTCACCTCAGATGGTTACCTGCTTGCTTGTCAGCTGAGTTTTTTTATCAAAGGCCAGTTTTCGATTTAAATGCGAATTTTATGGTAGTTTTACTGTCCTTATCTCGGACGTCAATTTCCGTTAATGAATTTCTGTCATTTTAGCGGTCCGACTTTACTTGAAGACGATTCCACTGCATGGGTTACCGTTTTCGGGTATGTCTATGCATTCCCTTTTTATAGCCGTTTTCGCATTTAATTTGACAAAAGACTGTGTTTCCAACAAAGTTTATGCTTTATTCCTCAATACTGAACTTTTAACATTGGGATACGTTCGAAGGTATTCATACCTTCGTGCTCAATATGTAGTTGCTTTCCTGCATCTTTAAGTCGATAGTCAATAATTCCAACGCATGCCTTGTGTTTAGGGCTACAGCTGAAAAACACAATCTTCGCAGTTTATAGATACACCGGTAAATGGCAGCTTTGTTCGCTCGAAACACTGCGCTCTGTTGGTCGTACTACCCTGCTACTAGTAGGGTAATATCATTAAGATAATCCGCAGTGATATTGAACTCGTCCGAAAATCCAGCCATTGATGTAGTTTAACAGGAGTGGTCAAAGGGTTTTTGTGGTTATATCTATAACACGTGTCGGTTCAAACTCCGTTCCGTTTATCCGCCGCAGTCACTTAAGGTGAATTTAGCTGAACTCTGCAGCGAAATCAACAGAACAGAAGACTGTTGCTTGCTAGAAGCCATCGCGGAGTTCAACAATAGTAGTTCTATCGAGCCTCCGCGAGAGCATGCCAGTGCGATTATTGGGTCGATGGATCTACATCCATCTGGGTGTCCAGTCTGTCTGGGTCTCGTATTCGAGCCACTCACACTTTAATGAGTAATGAGGAGAAATACCTTCGCCGCGTTGTCGTGGCAGATTCCGCACTCCGTCTTATCCTCTTTTCTGAAGACGGACTTAACCGAGCCTCAGCCATCAGGAACAGCCATATCTCCCCATACCTCTTTAACCAGCATTGTGATACGACTCTAGAATGTTTATGAGCCTTATAAGCCTCAGTGGGGATGCTGTCCACTCCGGGCTTTTTTGCATCAATTATTTCTTACAGGGAGGGCGAATAACATGACACTGCATATGTTCTATCTTGATGGGCGTGATGGAAGAGAAGGGAGGCGGGTTCTGGAGACAAGTGCTGTATTCTAACAGTCTGCGAACACACGACTTTTTACCCTTTAAAAGACGCCTTATTTATTTGGGACCCTAGGCCTTCTGGAACGGTATAGGCTGGCGAGGGATAAGGTGTCGCCCCTGGAGAGAGGGAAAGATGGTGGCACGTTGGTCTTAAGTCGAGAACTTAGAAATGCGCACACATATGTCTGATTTTATCTTATTTGTCTACAATAAAGTGGTCGTTCGCATCGCGTACCCATTCAGTCTGTACAGGCCTGTTTCGTGGAAGTCGTCGCTTCTGCACAATGTCCTTTGCGGTCATTTCTGGTCAACTTCTGGTTCGTTATTCGCAGTTGGCGTAGGGCATGATCGTTGGACGATCTGGCTCAGACCGTCTCTGGGTGGACCATGTTGCGCTGATCCAGTTATTTTAGCACCGTTGGGTAAATCCAAAAATTCCCTTACCTGCATTGCCAATTGAAGACATCAGTGACGACTGTTTGCTTTTGCCCTTGTCGACTCAGGCTGCAGTCAGACCGTCCTTTTTGTTTGAAGCCTCAGAAAGGTTGAGCTATTGTGTTTTCACGACATCAAGACGTCTTGCGCGACGAACCTTAGATATAGATGGAAAGTGAATTCCTGGGCGTGTGCTGTCTGGAGCCTGGCCTGAATAATTAACGCTGCCAGTTTCACCATCACTGATTCACGATCATGAATCCAGCTGGAAGACATATAACTACCATGTACTCAGTCTGATTCACCACACAACTATCGTTGGAATGTACGGCAAACAAACGTTTGCGACGATGCTTGAAACGCGTTTTTGTGACAACCTGCTGACTCAAGTTAGCGAAGCTTAACAACCTCTCGCCGTCCTCTTGTCGAGAACGCAGTCCAAAGCGTCCAGTTAGATGGCCGCTTGAAGAGTCGCTTGACCAAGCCCGACTACTTCAGTCACCTGCCACAGTCGAAGGGGCCCTTCAATCGCGGCTCCATTACAGCGCTGATCGACAGCGCATGTTGGGCATCGACGGAAACGACAGGGGTGTGATAGAGTGTCCCTCCGGTCCTACGTACGCCAGCCGGCCATTTACTGATTCCAGTGCAAGTAGTGCGTGTCTCAACTGTTGCGAAAGAGTTACACAGACAAATGTAATAAATAATAAAGGAAGAGTCGACTTCCGAGATCACGATTTCGTGAAAGCCTGAGCCTGGGGTTCGAACTTTAGACAGACAACGGACTCCGGCGGGGTACACTGGTGAGGACTTTGAGTGCTAAAGTCGAGTAACATCGCACATTCTGCTCACACATCATTCGTTCACGCTACTAAACCAGGGGCTTGGAGCGTTTATATTCATATTTATGCTGTTGAATATATCATTGTACAACGCCCGAACACTTTAAACGAGGTTTTTCTAAAGTTCTGAATTCTTCCGGTCTATGACGACCATCTGGACTGTTTTCTCCACGACTGTCTCTTCTGGGGCTTTGATTCAAGTGATGACAGGTAGAATTATTTTATGACAGTCCGCAGTCGCATTGCAGGGCCGTCACAACGCCTTGTGGCATATTACAAGGTAGTTAACTTGCCAAACTAGTGGCATTTTCGCAGCCTTTCTGCAACCGTTTATTTCATGCACCCGAGATTCCGCTTATTTCACGGCTTGCCTTCATCGAGAACCGTTCCACAATCTACCTACGGACACGGTGGTTAGTCAGATGCTAAATTAGTAGGCAGGCCCATCTTAAGCTGAACTCCTCAATCTTCTTCCTTGAAAACCATCTCCACGAAAAGTCAAATTGAGTTTTAAAGTCATTATGAGATCGACCGCAGCACAACCTGCGAAGGCTGTTTCTGAACACCGTTCCAATTGGATGAGTCTTTGATCTTACCCCTATTATTGGAAAACTAAAATGATATTTAAATGTTAAATCACCTGTCATATCTTATATGAAATTCATAAAGAGTGGCCTTGATCTATTTTAGGTACCCCGCAGCACAAGCGTCCCTCATCCTCGACCAGTTTTCTCACTTCGGAACCATCGAAAAATATCTCGTGAGTGGCCAATTGCATGTAACTGCTTTCTTTGCCTGGTCACTTTGAGTAATCTTTCCGACTAGAAGTAACTTCTAGCATTTATTAGCGCACTCTACTCATGAGAAAGAGAAAATAACTGGGTTATAGTAACTAATTCAACGTTGAGAATTGTCTACGGATTGCCATTTGTCGGCGGTTTCTGTACTTTTTTGCAGGAAGTACACGCAACTTGCATTCTTGGCACCTGCACTTTTCAAATGCCGTACATCTGGGTAAAATACAAATTACTCCACGCACCTGGTTTGTTTGAAAACCGAAAACTCATTCCTTTAAAGCCGCTAAGCCAAGGCTGGTCTTCGGAGCCATTTGTTGACGCGGCTCCTTCTCGACAAATGGTTGGCTTTTGTCAGACGGGGTTGCGTTAGAATCAATCCGAGGTACCATTCTGTATTTGGACAAAGCCATTTCTCGTCATGAGTGGCGCCAAACACTGTCCGTGTGCGCCTCCTATCAGTGAAGACTAGAATCATTTTCTTGTCTTAACCATGTCCGTTAGTTGGTCACCAGGAGGGGAGGGAAGAGTTGTGGGTAAGAATCGGGTGAAGGACCCCAAGCATCAGTGGCGTACAAAGAATACCTACCTAACTTACTTAGGGGGGTGTTATTCCGGCATGATTATTTTGGTATGGTGTTTCATCGTACAAGGTTGTGTCGTCTGTTCTAGACGGTCTGTGGCATTATTTACAATCATTCCAGCCCAGAGAGTTGAGAAGCGATCGTTGTGGACACTTAATATTTGTTTTTTAATTGTCCTGCTTGATTTCGGTTGCTATCTGTTAATGCATTAAAACTTTTCCGCCCGAAAAACGGATTTACCAACTATCAATACATTTTTTGCCATTCCTCTATGCATACACAGGCCCCGCTCGTAAGAACTCTATTACCACCTTTCCCGTAGGACAGGCATCTTTGGCCGGTCGTGTGTTTGGGGTCCTTTAACCGATCGTTGCCGCGTTGTGCTCTTACATCCGGGCGCTGCACGGGTGCGTGGGAATAATTTTGACCAGAAACATTACGGCGTCTCTTTTTTTATTTTCCAGATAACTAACAACGGAAACTGGATGCACTTAAAGTATCAAAACAAAATTCAGGCCAAATGCGCCCTCAATAAGAACGGACGCATCTTCCTCGGTAACATAATGATTGGCGTCCGCCGATGCACTGACATGGTAAGTTTGGCCATCCCTTGCTCGGAAAAAAACGCTCAACAATTCCCTCACCTGTACTAACCGAATCGTGTTGCCAATTGTTAAGGAGGTAATGCGCAGCTCTGCCGCAATCACTCTGGCTGATGGCCTATCCGCTAAGGTGCCCTCTGACGAAACGAAGGTTACTATGCGGCCACCTGGAGCCGACTTCCGATCTCCCGGTTTCCTCGATTCGCCACTGCGCGAAGTGGGAAATAAGCGTGATGATCTGATAAACCACAGCTTCACCGGCCCAACGCAGAAGCCCGGTACTCCATCGGCAGTGGATCAGCGCCCCACATCGGGGCTCACGCGGCACAGCTCCATGCGACCCCTCACCGGCACCTACAGGCCACCTTGCTCCGCTCTTTCACGTACCTCACAAAACCAATCCTTCAGAGTGCCCGTGAGTAGACGCAACAGCTAACATTGCCTTTCCTCCTCCTCCCCTCTCCCCCCACTCCTCTCTTTCTCCTTCCCACCCCTCCCCCCACTCCTCCCCTCCTTATTTTTCGTTCGCATTTTGACGTTGGCGCCGTCGACATCATTGTTAAAGATACTGACGTTGGTGCACATTCCGACTGAAGTGCATTCTCAAATCCCTCCATGGCTGCCAACAATAGACGGCCGTCTACTTTGTTGACTTCACCGCTGCGTTCGACTTCGTTCATCGTAATTCCCTGTTGCGAATAATAGAACTAGGTAGTGTGTCGGCCAAACTCGTTGCCCAATCGATGCCTACTACCGCTTAACCACTGCGCGAGTGCTAGTCCATAACAAGCTCTCCCAATTGTTCCATATTCGGTCTGGCGCTCGGCAAGGTTTTATCCTGTCGCTCATTTTGTTCAACCACGCCATTGATTGGATTCTCGGAAACGCACTACACGAAGTTGACGGTGTTGAGTTTGCACTCGGCTGCCTGCTGACTGATGTCGACTACGCTGACGATATGGCTTTACTAGCTCCAAGCTTTGACCAATTTGGTGTCTGTGGTGTCACGGGTGAATAAGGTTGCTTAATCCGTTGATTTATTCATAAACGCTGGGAAGACCAGCAACCCGAAGTCTGGAGGGCCATTCCTTACGTTAAAGGGGTCGCTGAAGCGGTCTCGCGACTGTTACAACCGACCAGAGTAGGCATAGCCCATCGACTCCAGGCAACATTTCAACGCTGTATGATGCAACCTTAGAACTCATTGCCACCCGCTGAAACCTCAGCAGTCATATACAAAATAAATTGCAATGAGAGCGACTGCAACTATGTGGTAGAAACCGGGCGAAAATTGCAAACTCGCCTACAAGAGCACAAATCGCCCACTCAGACGTTAGACGCTAACTCTCAACTAGCAACACACGTTGGAGAAACTGGGCGTACTTTTGATCTCCAGAGGGCGACCATCTTAGGCCGGGGCAACACAAAAGCAGACCGGCTAACTCTCGAGGCGTGGTTCTCCGATGCCCACTCTATTAACCGGCATCTGGACATTCCTGCAACTTAAAAAGTCCAACGTCATCGCAGTCTTAGAGCTCAGGACCAAACAACCACACCGGACTTAAGAAGACCGTACGGAGACAGCCCGACGGCGAATTTACTCGGTGAAGAAGAACAAGAACCGCCAGAGCGACCGCCCGACAAAGATACTACCAGCTCTCCTCGAAGGAGTGGTGACTCACAAAGCACGCAGGCAAAACGCCTCGGTCTTCCGGGAGACCGAGGCACCCTGGGGACATCAGGGTGTTTTCAAGCTGCGTCCCTGACCAAGGGAAGGCACCTCTCGCGATTAATGGCCGTCAGCTTTAAAATGTAGGCAGTTCCAATTACCTCAGGGCAAGGCCGTCGGCGAAGGACGACTGAGGTGGTTTGAGCACGCTATTTGTCGTCCACCTCTTGAACTCTGTGTTGCTGTCCTCGATCCGACCCTGTTGCCCGCCTGAAGACGTCAAAGAGGAGACCAACTCACAATTCGGCACGGCACAGTTCGCCAGTACAGGAAGGTGGTAGGACCTTCTGTATTCAGTCTCAGTCACTGAAGAGAATGTGTTGAGCTCTTCAGATCCTCTATTACAGATCGTCACGTGTGGAGAGGCATGATTTGCGATATCACTGAGGCCGGCTGAGTCAGGCATGGTTGTAGCTGTGCCAAGTACAAATACGTCCATCGGGAATCATCACGGACGCCAGCATGTCGATTGCCAATTGTGCTGCCGGTCAAATAACCCTGAATGGAAATTCGGTCGTGCCTACTTCGTTACAACAAAGCGGACGAAGTAAACGGAGTGTCGTGTTTTTTTCGCATATAATGCATTGTTTACCACTTAAAACTGCGATTTTATCTTCCCAGCGCGGATTGCAGAGTTGATAAATGCCCGCCGTCATACCTGTGTGGGATAAACTGCTTGAACAAGCATCTTTTGCCACGGAGATCCAGGCATTGCTGGGGTGAGGGTGTTTCGCCACAAAGGCACGGAAAAATCTAGGCACTTATATTGAGTTCTTTTTCGTAGAGTTTACCATCAAGTCCGAAGAAGCGACATCCTTACGATTGCGAAGTTGGTGAGTGTTACGGAAGAGTTAGGTGCTCCATACCTACCGAGTTTGGCCTTGAATGAATCCGCACATGAGGAGTGAATAAATTCTTTGGGTAAGGCGTTCCATGCTGCGATCACTCTGCTACCTTAGAAATATTTGGGGGCATCAGTCCATGCTCCTCCCCCTCAAATTTTGAGGGGATGACCGCGCAAAAAGTGTGTGTTAGCTTGAATGAAAAAATCATCAGGAATAAAGTAACAGCCCAGTCCGTGCATAATGTGAACTGTTTGTATGAGGTCCCCTGGTACCTGCCTATAGGAAAGGGGGAAGAGGTTCAGGGTCAACCGCTGATTTTCGTGGGGTAGTTACCCAAACCTTTGACCACTTTTCTCACTCGCCTCTGGACCTTCTCCAAGACGGTGCAGTCCTCGACGATCCAATGTCGCCATGCCTGTATAGCATACTCGCACGGATGTTCCAGATATTTTGAAGAATCTGTCCTTGTCAAACACTGTAGAGGCCCGCCTGATGATTTTCATACATTTCCACTCTCGCATTCATGACGTACAGTAGGTGGGCTAACTCATGAAATGTCAGCTAAAATTCCGAAATGCGTTTCCGTTTCGAAAAGATTAATTAAGTTGGGTTGTAAAACCAATCATCTTGTAGCATAATTCTATAATAATTCAGTTACCCCAGGATGCCGGCTTTCGAACAAACTTCTTTTTGACTGCGTCCAAAAACCATACTCCGTAAGAAATGGCTACTTAAGTAGCATGCATTTTTTCATTGATTTGGGATGCCCTTCAGGATTCAGTCATATTTCATAAAAGGCATGCACAAAAATCTTCATTCTTTTGTTCATTCAGTAGGATGTTACGTATTCTTTCAATTCTACACTCGAAGGAAGGGTATCATTCAGTTTTAAAAAGTTTTTAATTGTGAGAATTTTTAATACCGTGAAATGGCCCTTTATAAAACGTCATGTGTCTGCACTTACCAATGTGGCTCAAATTCACTGCTTAATTTTATGAACCCTATATGGTCCCCTTTATTATCGTGGAGAAATGTATGGTTTTCCTTACGCGCAAATTGTACGCCTTGTGGTTTGGGTACCCTGAATGCAAATGTAACGGCAGGTTGGGTTCAAAATTATTCGGGAGTTGGAAAAGTTTTATAAAAACAAATTATACCCTTCCTTCGAGTGTAAAATTAAAAGGAGACGTAATTTTCTACTGAACGAACAAAGGAATGAATATGTTTGTGCATGTCTTTTATGAACTATAATTGAATCTTGAAGGTCATCGAAAATCAATAAGAAAAATGCATGCTACTTAAGTAGTCATTTCTTACGGAGTATGGTTTTTGGATGCAGCCAAAAAGAAGTTTGTTCGAAATCCGGCGTCCTGGGGTAACTGAATTATTATAGAATTATGCCGCAAGATGATTGGTTTTACAACCCTACTTAATTAATCTTTTCGAAACGGAAACGCATTTCGGAATTTTAGCTGACATTTCATGAGTTAGCCCATTTACTGTATCTGTCACTCTTTGCAGATTAAATGCCCACTTTTGCTCCGTAAAAACTTTATTGGCAACATTTTTTTGCAATTTCGTACCAATTAATTTATCTTCAATAATTAAAAGCGCAAATCGCATCAGTACTGTCCCCTACTCCCCCCAATCATTCTTCTGCTTTTTACCGCTTTAGCACGGTTCGTCCAAGGGATCCGGTCTCCTTTCCAAGGCCCTTGATTATGTCTTCGGATGGAATTAACTCGATGCATTGTAATTTTAAGTCTTTGCCGGAATTAAAGCTGAAGAGTGTATGCTGTCGTCTGCATGCCTTGG